TACACAATCATTTTTGGCTTTAATTCAAAATAATTGCTGATTGTTGATGTCCCTCCGCTAACGGTTTCTCCCCCATAGACGGCAATTATAATCATGGCCAACTTTAGTTACACTGAATTGTAAAAATAATACAGTATATTGGAGCTGGACAAACGTAATGTTAAACGTAATGTGTAATGGTCCGGGCGCTGTTACATTTTCAGTGTGAGGACATTCTCATCCAAGGATACCTGGAGCAGCTGAAATGCACATACCGTTCAACTTTATTGCCTGGAGGGGAATAGTAATAGAAAACAGAAAACATGTAAATCAGTACTCCCTTTATCCCGCCTTTCCTCTCTTTGTTTACATGGGAAATACCTCCAAAGTGATTCTATAAAGCCGCGCCTGTAGGCGCGGACCTGCCTGCATTCAGCTGGCTTCAGCCCTCACTGCTGTTTTGACCAATAAAGAGTAGTGGTATTACTCTGGGACGTGCTCTATCAAGCCTGCTGACGGGGTTTCATTATGAACAGCTATGTGTGTGTGTGTCTCCAGAGTGCAGTGATTTGTGGTCGAGGCGGCCTGGGTCTCCCCGGGACAATAACTTTGGCAGACAAAACGAGAGATCCCAGAAGTCTCAGCAGGACGCATACGCACTCACTCACCTGTATTTATTCAGTCCCAAAGTCCTTCCGTTCACATTTGTGCTTCTTGTAGAACCTAAATAGACTTGGATGTCATCGTTCTTACTTTAGGGTTTAATTGTGTCAGATATCCTCCGATCCGCCTGCTGCTTGAGTCCCTCTGTGAGGGACCCAGCAGGCCTTTCTTATGCAATCCAGCCGGCTTAAACTCCAGCTCCTCCTCAAGAAAGACTGATGGCCTTGTGCATCTGGCACAGTTGATGCAACACCTCTTGGTGTGTTTTAAATTACGCATATTCTACTTGACACAGGAAAGCGGACGAGAGGAGGGTGATTGTAAGATAAAAAACGTAGTGTTGTGAAGATGGGATTTGTGCTTTCTGTTGGGCAACCAGAACCCTCTGCAAACATTTTTATCAAATCTATCTGTTTGGAGACAAAGACCTGCGGTTTCCCTGCTGTAATTACTTTTTCTCTTTGTGCCAAAAAGCATTAGGTGGCAGTTTTGATTCATGCACAGCTGATGAATGAACTCGAATTTATTTGATTCTTATTTTCAAGAAATATGATGGAGGAGTTTTTGTGTGTGTGTGTGTGTGTGTGTGTGTGTGTGTGTGTGTGCAAACATGCAGAGTCAATAAATAATTCATACATGGATTACAGAAAGAAGCAGAGAATTGGGTCAGAACTGCAGTTTGTTTGTTGGACGTTTGGGCGTGTGGGAGAGTGAAAAAGTGAGAGAAAGAATTCTAGACAGAAAGAATGGATGAAGGACAGACACGGTCTTCTGAAACTCGTGTGTATACGTGTGTTTAACTGCACATTGTAGTAAAACGTTTCCATATATTTCGTACTTCTTTCCTCACGAGTAATTCGATAAATGAAACCTTGTAATCCCTCCTTTGTTACGACTGTTGTGGTGCTGAAGTCAATTCCCCCAAAGACGCTCGTCTCTCTCGGTTCATTTTTGTTGTGTGTTTGTTGGCGTAGCGTGCGATGGCAGTAGCAGCACTGGGGCTGTGTGTTTGTGTACATGAAGTGAGAGGGCCAGTACGGACCTGCTCCTGGCTGTGCGTTTGTTTCCTATTCGGGGCGTCTCCTTAACAAAGACCCACTTCCCTTGCGACGCCCCCCCGTGGGGGCAGAGTCACACAAAGTACACACCTTCTTTTTTTGCGGAGGCTCACGCACGTGCACGCACAAACACACGCATGCTCATTCATGTTTTGGCTGACTGTTGTGACAAGGGGCCTCTGGGGATTTAGTGCTTCCTGGTGAAGGTCACATTGAAGGGACACCTTCTTTTAGGTGGAGGAGGGAGAAAGAAGGAGGGAGAAAGCCAGAGGAGGACGGAGAGGTGAAAAAGCGTGTCACCTGCTTCTGCTCTTAAATCCATTCAACCATTTGGAGATTAACTAAAGAAGCAGGAGGTCTGGGAAGCAAAGGATTAAGGAGAATGATAAGAGTTTCTCTGCTAATTGAATTTGTGTAAACCTCACATAAAGCTGATTGTTTGTGAGTTGTTTTTAGCAATGAAACAAACCATTTTGATACCTGTATTTGGAGTTTATAGTTTATATGAGCTTTTTCATGTTTTCTTGCAAGGCAAGTATGTGTGTGCGTTTAATACTGAATCATTCATTTTCTCTAATGTGTGTGTCCAGGAGGAATGTGCAGGCATTGGTGAGTGGGTGTACAGTGTGCGTGTGCATGCGTGTGTGGAGGTTGTTCAGTGTTGTAAACACCGGTGGAGTTTGTTTACATGCTTGATATCACTGGGAAGATATGGACACATAGATTTAATGTGTGAACAGCATAGAGGAAGGAGTGCGCGTGTGTGTGTGTGTGTGTGTGTGTGTGTGTGTGTGTGTGTGTGTGTGTGTGTGTGTGTGTGTGTGTGTGCGTGATTACTAACCCACGATAGTCTATTTCTAACTGTCCGTCCAGATTTCAAGTGCAGCTTGCCAGGAAGTGCAATTTCCTGCTCAAGAGACTGAATCAGCAGCATCCAGCTGTTGTGTTTGTGTGGGGAGAAGAGACAGAGAAAGCAAGACCGAAAGATGAGGCAACCGCCTGTTTCTTCCCATGCAATTACTTAAAAGATGTTTTTCCAGGTGCCCCATCCCCATCTTGCCAGCCACATTGCCCCACCCACAACCCCACCAATCATTCCTCCCCCTCCTCCCAGTTGCTCTTATTTGCACTTTGAAGTGGGAAAGTCCGGCTCCATATTTCCCCCGAGAACCTGGGATGGGACAAATGTCCGCAATGCATCTACAGTAACTTGTGTTTACCTTTAAGTGTGGTTCTTTCTTCCTGTGGTTATTGCTGTAGCCCTGCCTCAGCTACATGCATCAGCTTCATGCGTCAAATAACATGCCTCAGCTACATGCATCAGCTTCATGCGTCAAATAACATGCCTCAGCTTCATGCGTCAAATAACATGCCTCAGCTACATGCGTCAGCTTCATGCGTCAAATAACATGCCTCAGCTTCATGCGTCAAATAACATGCCTCAGCTTTATGCGTCAAATAACATGCCTCAGCTTCATGCGTCAGTTTCATGCGTCAAATAACATGCCTCAGCTACATGCATCAGCTTCATGCGTCAAATAACATGCCTCAGCTTCATGCGTCAAATAACATGCCTCAGCTTCATGCGTCAGTTTCATGCGTCAAATAACATGCCTCAGCTTCATGCATCAGCTTCATGCGTCAAATAACATGCCTCAGCTTCATGCGTCAAATAACATGCCTCAGCTTCATGCGTCAAATAACATGCCTCAGCTACATGCATCAGCTTCATGCGTCAAATAACATGCCTCAGCTTCATGCGTCAAATAACATGCCTCAGCTACATGCATCAGCTTCATGCGTCAAATAACATGCCTCAGCTTCATGCGTCAAATAACATGCCTCAGCTACATGCGTCAGCTTCATGCGTCAAATAACATGCCTCAGCTACATGCCTGTATGTAATGTTTTTGAAATTTGCACTGACAATGTACTTGGTAGTTTCTATTGATACACAGTTTGTTTGTATGGTTGAGGTCTAGAGAGGTGTGGGGTTGTGCATTGCCACCACGGTATTTTAATGACACGTGTGTGTGTGTATACAGGACGTAGTTCGGAGGGGGAGGGAATGCAGAGGGAGGAATAAACAAATAAATGTATTGATGCAGTTGAAGAATTAAAATGAGACAAGAATATACAGTATATAAATACTCTGGTTCTGTTCCCGCCAAATAAAATTCTGAATTCTAAAATAGGGTCCAATATCTGCTAACTAAGTTATAAAATTGTAACTTGAAGGTTAACTGATACTTCAATCGAAATATAATTTGTAATTGCGGGACTGATCATTATTACATTATTATTCTTGTTTTATTTTAAAACATAAAAGTAATTATGGTGTCATTTTTGCATGGATCTGAGCTGGAAAAAAAATGTTTTGTGTGTAGGTAGAGTAATTATGCAGCCTTAGCAGGGTTCGTAAGCCATATTCTTTTTCTGAAGCACTGGCAGTTAAATGTTGCCCTTTAAATATAGTACAGGACTTTGCTCGAGAATGGGCAAAAAAAAATGTATGACTGGAAAGTGTGTTCTCTCCTTACGACACTGTGCCTCTCTTTCGCTGCGTTGTTAGTCTGCGGAGTCAGAGGACACACTTTGTTCTCTGCTGTGACGAGAGAGCAAGTCGCATCTCTTTTCTACTTTAGAGTTTAAATCTTTCACGCGTTAATGGCTCGCTTCCGCCCTTCCTTCTAATATTGATGATCTGTGGTTCTGAGGTTGATGCGGCTGGAATTTAAATGCTTTTTTTTTCTTTCATGAATAAGCTCATTAGCTGTCATCTGGATGATATGCACACAAATGCGCCCACATGCGCTATCATTCACATCTATCCAGTTCTTGATGATTTACTTTCTGTTCCTCTGTTTTTCTTTTTCCCTCTTTTGCAACCTCCTCCCTCCCTCCCGCCTCCTTCTCTGCTGACTCGCAGGTGGTGTCCTCCGTCAGAAACGTTCACGCCCTCTGACACATGGCCGACAGCGGGGGACGGAAGGGGCCAGAGTGAATACGGGGGCCGACGGAGACACGGAAACAAGCGCACAGGAAGAAGGAGGCAGTCGGCCATCTGTGGTCGGTTTCCATGCTCTTCTGCAGCTGTGTTGGACTCGACGAGCCTCTGTGATCCCCGTCAGGACTTGAGAGACCACGGAGTGAGATACGGTTGTTCTCCCCCCCTCCTCGCTCCAGGGGGTGAGCCTCGGCTGGGGCGATGTTGAGGCCTCGCTGGCCTTGGATGCGGCCCTGGGGCTGCTTCTCCGCAGGGGCGGGTGATACCCCAGCTGGATCTTCCGCTTTCGCCATCCTCAACAGCTGTCATTAGCAGCTAACGAGCTGCTGCCGGAGACGGTGCCTGTGCCGAGAGGAGGGACCGTACGGCTGTTAATAAGAGGCCCAGAACTCTCAGACGAGGAATTTGAAAACCTTTTTAAAGCTCATTCGGATGCCAGCATGAAAGGATTTTTAATTTGGAAACTCTTGCTTTAAGGCACCTCTTGTCAGGCGATCGATTCTTTATTACAGTGTTGACATACCTCTCACATTGGTCACTATGCAGTTGAAAAACAAGTTTTCTAAGCTAACCAATTGACTATATTTTTTCCTCTCCACTGAATGAGTTTTTGACATTTAATCCATCCAGTTTTTGTCCAAGCTATATGTTTTTTGTTTTAAACTTTGGTGTTATTTTATGCCCTAAAGGACATTGATCACCATGGCTGCAGCCTATCGCGTAGTGGTGAGCAGTGTCAGCTGCTACAACAGTGTGGTAGTTGACCGCCGCACTCACTCCCATGCTGTGCACTACTGCCCGGGGCCATGTGGGGCGCTGTCCCAGGGCCTGGACTGTACCGTCGCACACCGCGGCACTTGTTCTGAGCTGCTTGCTGCACCTGACACTGTATACACGGACGCCAACAGCTCGCTCATGCACTCCCATAACATGATCTCTCAACACCTCCACAACCACGGTAAAGTGACCGTTACCATGGACAGAACCTATAATGGGGGTTTAGAGAGGGCAGACAGCAGTGGCAATTTAGGGGAGGATAGCCCCACATGGCGTGGTAAAAAAGCCCCCATTGCCGGAGGGTCGACCGGGAACCTTAGCTCCTCTGGCAGTCTGAAGGACATTACCGAAGAAGCCATCAATCTCGCCAGCGGTAAGCTCAAGGAGTTTTCTTTCGACAAGCTCCGCCTCTCGTCCTCCAGCCACGTCACCTTCCGAAAAGGTCGCAAGGTCCGTCCCGACTCGCTCAGCCGTCGCTCCACCGACCTGGAGATCATCTACGGCCACTTCAGCTCCAACATCACCACAAACGGAACCGCTAACGGCATGACAAACGGCACGGGTCCGCCTAATGATGAGAACCTCCCACCATTTGTGCCTGGGAAGGTGGCGAGCCTGGAGGAGACCAAGCTGAAGGGCAGCACGGCCACGCTGTCGGCCATCACCAAGCTGAGTGCTGGATCAACAGGCAGCCTACTGAGTATCGGGTCTTTAGACCAAAGCCTGACCACAATGGCCTCCCTGTACCGCAACACTCTGGGAGATGAGAACTTGATTGCCCGTCTGCTGGAGAAGACACGGGCGGAGGCGGGAACCGGGGGAGCGGGCGGGGAGGACATCCGCGCCTGCCTCGACATCCTGCTCAAATGTTCTGAAGACTTAAAGAAATGCACCGACATTATCAAGCAGTGCATCAGACACAAAGCCGGAGGAGGGCCCGAAGACGGCGGAGCCAGTCCCGACAGTGTGTATCGGGCCGTGATGACCCGACTCAGCTCTTATTTGAAGAGACTGCCTCTGGAGCTAGAGGGCATCGGAAGCCTGGGAGGCGTTGGGCAAGGGGGTCAGGGTGCGCCCGGAAGCGGGCACAGCGATCTGGCTGAGCTGGTCAGCACTCTTCACTCCATCCAGCAGGGCGTTTACTCTCCAATATTTGGCAACGAGCAGCCGCCTCGCTATGAGGATGTGGTGATGTCACCTCCCCTCCCAAAGACAGCTCCTCACTCTGTATCGTCTACCCTCTCCTCTGTTTCGTCTTCCTCCTTGTCTTCTTTGAAATCAGACTCCATCCATACCAAACCAGTGCAAAGTTCCCCGTCCCGAGCCACTGCACACACAAACGGACTACAACATCTTTCTTCGGTCACACAACACACGCTGTCCCCCCCGTCTGCCACATGCTCTCCGTGCGGCTTCTCTCCGACACACTCTCCGTCCCGTTGTCGTACCTCCCCCACCCCACTGTACACGCGCGCCCCTCCAGCATCGCCCATGGAGGCTCTTCATATTGAGGAGGAGGAGGAGGCGGATGTGGGGAAGACGCCGGAACAAATCTCACAACAGGCACACACTCCATCTAGAGTGGTGGGTGCTACCCAGAACAAAAATGGGATTACATTGGGTGAACACACGCACTTGTCTCATGCACGCACTCTCCGTAACTCGGCCACCACTGACTGCAGCCCGACTTGGCCTTCTGCACCGCTCACGGCCCCAGCACCCAAAGCTGTCTCGCACAGGAATGATGACATCGACAAGCTGCTGATGGACTTAGAGAGTCTCTCCCAGAGTATGAGCCACCCCAGGAACACCGAGCCTCCGCTTCCAGCCAAAACCAGGAAGAGAGAAGGAGGAGGCCAGGGAATCACTTCCGGCGAGGGCCTTTGTCAGCCTAAACTGTCCCAATTCCAAGTCCAGAAGCCTGCCAACCACATAGTGGTGAATGGCCCTACCACCAGGTCTCCCCAGAGTCCCACTCCTCCCCGGGGAGAGAAAAGTGAAGCCGTGTTAGGAGAGGAGGAGGATGGGGCACTGCTGCTGAGGATCCTGGAGAGCATCGAGAGTTTCGCCCAGGAGCTGGTGGATACCGGGGCGGGCAGCACAGGGAGTGCTGAGAGGAACAGTGGGAAGGAGCGGGAGGTGATGAGGCTCCTGCAGGATACCATGGCCACCGCATGCAGGGCTGATACGCCTGTGGAGAGCACAAGCCCACCAGCTGCTCCCATTGGTCCCCCCGTACACACACATGTGCCTACACAAATCCCAGCTATACCCCCAAAACACTCCCTCGCAAACACACCCGCAGTTTCACCTGCACCGACACCTTCATATATAGTCGCGTGTGACGCTACATCCAAAGCTTTGCCCGAACCAAAACCAGAAGCTGCCCCCAAGCTGATGCCCACATACCCTGTACCTGAGCCTACAACTGAGGTTGCAGATACAGTTGCAGAAGCCTGTACAGGTGAGACTGACACAACATCCATCCCTGCCCCTGTAATGTCCCCGCCCGCCAGCTCGCATTCCTCCACACATCCAGCTGAACCCACACCTGTAGCTGCACCCGAAGCTCCGGCCCCCATCGAAATCCCAGTCGTGGTTGCCTCAAGAGACGCTGGCGTTGCCGTGGGCGACCCCGTCGCCGTGAAAGACACCGGTTCGACCCTCCTCATCCAGCAGACCCCAGAGGTCATCCGCGTAAGTCAAAGACACATTTTCCAGTTGAAGCTACTGACACATGCACAAACTATCGGAGTGCCAGGGGGACTTTTACTAAACATTTTAGCAGTGCAGTGTTTTCAATAGGTAATGTTTTAGAATAGGTAATGTCAGCAAACCATACAACTTGCATGTTGCGCAACTTTGATTAAATTATTTATGTAACAAGTAAATATATTTATATTATGAGTAAACTGATGATGATAATAATCATGATACACAGCGACATCATCAGAACGTGTATTTTGAATGTTACAGTTGCCATGGTGTCAGAAGCAATTAGTGGCAAAGTCTGAGTGTGACTAAGAGACGGACAAACAGAAACCAATGAGCAGAGTGATTGACACCGTTACACTGAGAATAGCCAATTTGTTTAAAAAAAGCTTTCATGGCTTTCAGTACATGTTATATTTAACGCCCGGGCGAGGATTTTATCGCTGTGACACAATGGGGTTGATACCACTGTAATCATGGGCCCATTCCTATCGCGGCTGGAATAAAACAGGCGGGTGCTCTGACTCATGGAACAGAACAGCTCATTGTGTTAGGAGTGGCTCTCTTCCTGGTTTCTGACTTGATGTGAGTTTGTTGGCTCCCCGTTCCACTCTGGGGAATACTTAAAGGTAATTTTGGGTTGTGCTACAGAGGGAAAGAGCGGGCAATTGGGGCGTGTGTGTGTGCGTCTGTTTGTGACGTGGTGTGCATAACATACTGACGCTGCCGTGAGTGAGGGGGGTTTACCTGAGCTTGTCTCTGACGCGGGTTTTTAACAGCACACTGTGGATTTAGGTAATTATCTGTGAGAGACAGCCGGCCATTATCAACACCGAGGCGGAGCATCGAATTCTTATGTTTCCTTTTCTCCTTTGCTAATATGCTTATTCCTTTTCTCTCCCAACACCCCTCCTTCTCCACAAACAAGTCTCCCGCTGCTGTTTGTTTGTGTTAATTTACTGAGCTGTGTAACCTTATGCCCTGCTGATATGTAGGGCAACTATTTATGAGGTTACCATGGTAGCTGCCACAGAAGAGCACAGCCAGCAAGCAAACGCATCATTACTCGTCCTCTGTATCTCTATCCTTTTTTTTTGATTTCCTGCTCCTCTGCCTCCGCACTTCTTGTAATCTCTCGCCATCCTGCTTCCCGCATCCGTGGCCCCTTTTTGCCCCCCCCCACCCCCCTCCCCCTCTCAGTGTCCGTCATCCACCTACGGTTGTTCTACGTTGACCACCACTTCTCTTCCCGCTCTGTGATTGGCCACTGTGTTATTTTGGGAGCGGTGAACAACAGTTGTTGCCGTGTGGGGGGCAGAAAAAAAAAAAAACCCAACGAGAGGTGCTGATTGGAGCCCAACAGGAGGGGGGGTGGAGGGTGGGGTAAGGTGGGGTAGGTTGCGTTGTTGCCACACTGGGTGTTAACGGTGTCGTTACCCTCCACCCTCTCAAAAGCGAGGTGCGAGGGAGACCTAAATCCGCCCCCCCCCCCCCCCCTCTGTACTATGGCATCCCGCTAACAGACTCACTGTCGCCACAGTGTAAATGGACCTGGACGTGTCCGCGTGTGTTGTGAGTGTGTGGCGGTGTTCATGTTTGTTTATATGTGCTCAGCCAGGCCTGTGTTCCTCTAGCGTTCCTCTCTTCACGTATGTGTGGGCCTTCACGTATGCGCCCGTGCATCCGTGTGCACAGGTGTGTTGATAAGAATCCCATTCGAATGGACGTGTGTTCCGCCAAGTGTGTGCGTTTGTGTGTGTGTGTGTGTCTGTTAGTTGGCCTGGGGGCATGTTGAGCTATTGCGGGTCACAGCTGAGTTTGGGAATAGCTCTCTGACACCCAATACCAACTCTTGCACTTATGCTAATATTCCTCAGCGCCGACCTTTTACCTCTTGCCTCATTAACCTGCCAATCAAATTACAAACAAGCCAAACTCCCTCACACACACACAAGTGAGACAATGCACTTCAAAACACAACTACTTACACACTGCTCCACGGAGATGTGTAGCTGCGTTTCCCTCGGCATTGTCGTGGCTTTGATGGGAAAGCTTTGCAAAGCCCTCTGGGTTGACACTGGCAGTAGCATTGTCATCCGTGTGTGTGTGTTGGTGTGTGTTGGTGCGCGTGTGCTTGCATGCGCACATGTGTTTATTGTTGATTTTGCTGCTGACAGACTAATACAGGGCTCTCTGCACCTGTCAGAGCACACCCATTAATCTCCATGGATACAAAGAAGCCAGCCGATATAAATCAGAGGCAAGGCCCCAACAGCCGAGCCGGCGCGGGGAGACGTGGCAGCGCTGACGCTGAGAGCACAGGCGACTAAATCTGTTCGTGGCACTCGAGGTCAATGACCTTACAGTTGCGGTTGGCGTCTCTTTCTTGTACACTTTTTTTCTATTTTTTGCAAATATGAGAAGAGAAATTTGAGATCACATTCCACTGCAGCCTAATCTGACCTGCATGTTTCTGGTTCTGTGGGGTTATTCCAGTACAGTCGATGGCGACATGATTTAAAGGCGCAGAGCTGTTTTTTTTTATATTACAGCTTGTTGTTGAGGCAGAGATGACTGCTCCTCTTTCTGGATTTCATATTTCATATTTCCAACTGAGGAAAGGAAGTGTTGACCTTTTCGACAGAATGTTCTCAGAATGTTCTCCTTTTTGGCACAGGGCGGCTTGAAAGGGGATAAAAGGAGCGATAAAGGAAAGCTTGGGGACGAAAAGAAAATAACAGGAAGATGGAAGAAGCAAACAAATGACTGTCTGTGTGAGACGGTGGGAGCGTTTTTTGGTCATCTGAGAAGTTTACTTGGAGCTCATAGGGAGTTTTTGAAGAAGAGGAACTGGCAAAGAAAAGGAACGGAGATGGTGCTTGTGTATAGGGAGGGGGAGGAGGGGGGGGCGGTTATAGTGTACTGCTGTTGACTTTGGGTCGGCAGAGGATGACATCATTCCTCGGCTGCTTCCACAGGAAATAAGGTCACAGTGGGAACCTCGGCCAAGGGGGAAAGGTGCTTGTTCCAGCTTAGCTGCAGAATAATACAGATGAATGCATACAGTACATGCACACTCTCACACATGCACACTCTCACACGCACGCACACACACACACACACAATGCACTGCAAGACAAGGACGTATGTTGCTATGTGTGAAATGACTTTTCCAATACAGATCATACTATCCAAGGTTAGCCTGGACAATGAGACATTCACAACGCAGCCCTTTGATTCTCACACACACACACACACACACACACACACACACATACACACACACAGCACTTTTAAGCAAGTGACATGAATCATCACTCCCACAGACTCGGATGGCTTCCAACTGCTGTTCCCAGTGCATCAGGCTTTGCTGGAGAGTGGACACTTGCACAGCTGCTTGTCTGCACACACTCGCATGCAGGCAGACAACACACACACACACACGCGCGCGCGCACACACACACACACACACATGTGCAAGTAAGTTTTGTATCTGAAATGTTTATAGCTCAGTGGGAGGCATTGCTGCCTGAGTCTTTGGGCCTCCCTCCCCGTCACCATGGAACCAACAATAACATGTTAGGCGAGCTGACGGGACTCCCCTTCCCCACACTATCAGTTGTGTAATCTGATTGGCTGTTGAGGAGGCTCCCCCACAGAATCGTGTCTCCGTGGGGGATCAAATGGAGACTGGATATGTTTTCAGTTTATTTCAGAATACTGACGCCGTGGATGCGGGTGTGGCCGTGTGCGCCTGTTTCCATGTGAAACAATACCATAAGTTCCATAACGTTATGACTTTGTAGAAGCTTGTGTGTGAGCTGCCCCGACACACACATCTCGCTAATTAAACTCTCCCTTAGACCTCACCCTTCACCCGGCTCCACCCAAACTGGGCCAGCCGTTTTTCTCCACAAAATGACTCTCAACAGTTGATCTGGTTAAGCACGTCGGGATTTGTTTAGCCCCCGTGTCCTGAATTTGAATGAAACAGAAGTTGTCTGGAACAAGTACAACCGAGTTATTGCCCCTCGTGGCGGCGTGTCACTAATGACGTGTTAAAGTTGTTTGTGTAAGAATGATGTCTGAGACTGTGGCTCCCTCTATTAGCTCAATGGGTTTCATTGTTGGAAGTGGAACCTCTCACTCCGTCAGCCAGGGCGATTTCAGGAACGTTGGCCTTGAGAATGAGATCAAGGAGCTGAGGACGAGGCAGCAGAACCAGATCCGGGCTCACCTGTGAGTGTGGGGACATATTGGACATGGCAACGAGCAGAGAGCTGCTACCCTCTAGTGGTGCACATCTGTGGCATGCGGCACTGTGTCTGTAGGACTTGAAGAGGCTCCGTAGCTCCACTTACAGGAGGATCTGTGGTATGACAGCGGTGCGTCAGGGTCTAAATCAGAATCTGTTTGACTTTCACATGTTACTTCATTTCTATTTGTAATGATTTTAACTTCAGTTAAGTAGAGGGACGAGAAAACTGTCCTGGGTTGAAACCATTGCACAATTTGCCGTGATTGGGACACTATCACAAAGTGACCGTTGGGAGGAAAGGGTGGTGCAAGACACGGAACCTTTCTAAGTCAAAGAGAGGTATTTCTGGAAACCATTGTACGCATGTTATTAAGTTATACTGTGCTCTTGGTGAACAGCAAAGGGATGTTAAGGTAGTTAGTTGGGTGCATGGTCCGAAGGGTGGAATCACTGCTAATCCATGCTGCCTATTAGCATTCCTTAATGCTTGCACATTCTTCAGTGCTATCTGATCGTGTCCCTATTAGATTTGTTATTAATATCGCGGGGCCGCTGCATGGCTTGTGCCGTGGCCCCTTTTATCTGCTGACACATCTCTCTCTCTCTCTCCTACGGTAACATTCCATCTTTACTCTTCTCTGTCTGGAAAAGGGAGGAAACAGGATCTAATCGGCTCTGCCATTACCTTTGAGAAGTACTGTTGTCATAGCCATGCAAAGGTAATGCA